CGTTCAATTGCCACTGGAAGCAAGAACATGAATGCTTGCCAACGTCTACCAACACCGTCGGAAATGAATGGACCTCATATATGTCTTCATTTGACTGTCTAACAATCCATGTGCAACCAGTGGAGTACACCTCCATAACACGGCTTTCCATTTTCGGACAAAGTAACCCATTCCAATTAGTAGCCAAAACTTTACGCTCAGCCCTCATAGTCATTATTTGATTTCTGATTGTATCAACCAACCTTGTGATTGGATAATTACGGGCATCAAGTATCCATTTATTAAACGATTCTGCAGCGTTCGAGGTCATCTCTCCATACCGTTTTCCCCTGTTCACATTATGAAAACATAATGAAAATACTATCACATATTGGGTACTTGCAATGTTAGCACATGTAAGTCTCGTACGAACCTAAAATATGCATTGGCCCAATGCTTCAGTGGCATATTTTCCAAGAAATTATTTATTCCAGATCGTCCTGTTCCTTTTAGCTTCTTCCAATGCTGCTGAAATGAAGCCTCGGTTGGAGCATACACACATTCACGCAACTTCACCATTAAACCAAAACGTACACGGTTGTCAACCCATCGTAATTTGTCCCTCAAATTTGCTTGGAGATGTTGTAAGCAGTACGCATGGTGTGTAAATGGGAATACAGCAGGCAAGGATTCAAGCAGCCCAATATTACGGTCCGATATGAAAGTTAATGCGCGAGCACTACTAACAACCTTTGTCAGTTGCTGTAAAAACCAAGTCCAATTTGTAGTTGTTTCAGAGTCAACAATTGCAAAAGCTAATGGGAATAAACCTGGCAGATTCAACAGGTTTACCTTAGATGAAATATTTTTAACAAAGTTTACATCCACATTAACAATTGTTTACAATTTGAATCGCACCACACACAATGTTAGTAAAATAGCATTAAATTGGAAACAATCTTGCAATTGGGGATCACCCACTACTGTAGTGGACTTAAAAAAAAAGGTTAGCCACAATGTAATGCGTTACTATATGGAAGTATAAAGTAATCATCATAAGAGACATACCTTTGTTTCCATCCTTCCCCGTCGCTGCAAGCAAATTGCCTTTAAATCTCTCTTTTAAAAAAGTGCCATCAAGAAACAATAATGGGCAGATATGGTTGAATCCGTCAATGCAAGCTTTAAATGAAATGAAGAACCGCTTAAATCGGCCGGTAGACTGCTCAAAATCCAAGTTGACATAACTCCCAGGGTTGTAATGCATAACCGCATCCTCGTACCACCTAAGTTGATCAAATGAAACATGATAGTCACCATAAACTTCGCATCTTGCCTTCTCCACACCTAACCATGCTACATGGTAACTAACATTAAGGCCGTACTCTTTTTCTAGCTCAAACACGACGTCAGTAAGACGTGTAAGCAGCTTATCACGTAACCGATCACCGATAACATTGCAAACCAATTCAGAGTTAAGCCTGTTATTCTTCCCAGTGCAAACAACAGCACCACAACTATGCAAGTTGTTCAACCTCTTCAAGTAAAAATAACCATTGCATGTTTCAACCTTTCCATGTACCAACCATGAACACCCTTTTTGCTCTCGCAATGTGCACACTGCCGTAACCCGAACTGAGTCATTTTTAACAAATTTGAAGTCAAACCCACACTCAATAGCATATTTGGACAAAACCAAACGGAAAGCAGCAACACCCCCTTCGAAACATTGGCCTACATGACTAATGCCATGTGACCAATCAACTGTCATCAACATTTTCTCACTATGGTGACAATAATTGGCCAACAAATCTACACTAGGTTGGGAACCTGTAAATGGTTCACTGTCAGGATCCAGATGATTTGCAGACATAGTCCTACTAAATTAAGTACCTCAATTCAAATCATCCACCTCATTTTGCGAGTCAATCACAACGTTGATATGGGGTAACCGCGCAATGGAATCTTGAAATAGAAACATGTTTTTCCATGTCCACATCATTACACAACATCACTTGATTCTCGTGACACATGTAATTTGTAAGAATTTTGAAATCGATGATGGTGTCACATCCACCCACCCTATCACATAAATTTTTGTATCAAACGTTTTAATGTCAATCCATTGACACCGCCTGACAGCAACCGTGATGAACCGAGGGTGCAAAAAAAGCATGATGTCCATATCCTGCACAACAAAATGAATGAAACATTAACCGTGACGTACATCCTACAAAACAATCACAACATCGCCTAACCCACATTCAATCACATTCAATTTTATATCTGCACAATGACAACCCAAACTAAATAACATACAAAGAGAAGTTAGATAACATTAATATACATTCCAATAAATTCCATCAACCGATACAATTGTCACATTCAATTATAAAAAATAGAAACCAAAGACTTTGCGAAACGAAATGTGACACATATTTCCACAGTAAATACAAGAATCAGACAACACAATACAAAAACCAAGTACTTCTCCATGTGTATGTGAGCTACATTCATATACATTCCAATAGTATCCACAGACAAGCAAATATGACATTGAGAAAGAAGAAAATAAAGCCTAATAATTTTTGCGATTCGTAACGTGACACATATGTTTGAAAAACTAGCACAACTGCAAAACACAAACTAAATACAAACGAATGTAACACAGACCATCACCATATAACAGCCTTCGAATCTACAGAATTACGCCAATGCAAGGCTGCACCATTTCGCAGAATGCAGCAACATTCTCACATTCTCAATTTCTAATCTAATAAGCTATCGTAAAATACTATTACAAAATGAAATGTGACATGTATGTGAACAATTATACACAATATCATTACCATGGAAGTTGATGCAAGATTACCAATAACAAAGTCTACCAATGGATTGCTATGACAGATTGCGAAATTCATACGATATATGAGGACATTGAAAACAAAACATTCGAAAAAAAACCAGATCAACACTCACCAATTGAATAAGCAGACAACTTGATCTCCTTCCCTCAAGCAATCTGACTCGAAAGCGCAAGATGAAACAACCAAACCAGAGCAACACTCACCAATTGAAAACCTAACAGACTCCGCGATCATGACGCATATCACGGCACCAAACAATATGGAAAGAAAACGGTTAACACATTGCAACATGTATCAAGGGTATAATAGTAAACTATTCAATTAAAACACAACAGATGGAACTTAATGGAATACTTTCTAATTTAAATAGGACTTCAAACTTAATAAGAAATTTCTTAGACTTAACTAGTATTAGTCTCCTTAATAGGACTTATGATAATTTTCCCTAATTTTTTTTTCTTCTCTTTCTTTCATTTTCAATCTATTTCATTCTAAACAAACTAAGCCTAAAGTTTTCTTTAGATGGGTCTTTTTAATCTGCTCATAAGAGCAATGATAGGGAGTTTTAATATTTGAGCTCTAAAGAGAACTCTACACATGTGGCAAGGAAAAAAAAAAACATAAATGATACATTCTTCTAATTTGGGACCTCTAAAAGAACACTAATGATGTGGAAAATCAACAAAAAAAAAAAAAGAAAAAAAAAACCAAGGCTAAAACATCACATCACATGGGACTCATACACCAATTAGAGCTATTAAAGATCTTAATTTAGAGCTTCAAATCTTTTTTCAAAAAAAAAAAAAACAAACAAACAAACACACAGGCACATACATCACATCACAAATAGACTCCACCCATTTAGAACTCCTCTGAAACTCTCTTTCTACGCTCTTAATCATTGTTCCTACTCATACTATGGACACCAGCCCTTTCAATCTTTGCACACACACTGCATATTTTACCCACATTATTTCTTTTATTTTTTAATGTAATGGTCTTATGTCAAGACCGAAAAGTAATTCTTAAAAAAATAAAAAATAATTCAAAAAGTTAGAAATCAAACAAAGAATTGAATATAAAAAAATTCATGAATGAATAGGCTTTTCAAGAACTGCACCTCTTTAATTTTTCAGAACTACACTCTACTAACAAACTGATAAAATCTCATTCATCCATATATTCTGAATAGTCAGTTCTATAGTTGGTTCATGTTCTTAGATTTTTTCAAATAAAATAAATATATCCAAAAGATAGGTATATCTGTTTAATGCAACATGTTGAATTAGGACATTAAATTCTAATAATTGAGAATAAGATTTAAAATCTCAAGTTTAAGTCACACCAAAAGATCATTGGAGATTGTCAGGTCGTTAATTTTAGGACTTCAAGATCAGTCGAGCTGTATGCAAGCGGATCTGGACACCTGACTATCAAAAAGGAATTAGAATATAAAAGTTGTATAAATGAATGATTGTTTAGTTACTTACATAGACTCGGGGTTGCGATTGTGAGGTCGGTTGGGGGGGGGGTTTCCTTAGTCTATTTCGATAATCTAAACTATTTATTGAGTAAATTATCCATAAAAAAAAATTAAGTTGATCAAATATTTATAACTACAAGATCAGGTCGTAATTGTTTTAAAAAAATTGATAGTCTATTGTTATTCTTGTTTATTTTTCTAAAAACAAATACGATTTTGTTATGTGACTATAGATGTCCAATTAACTTAATTTTTTCGATAATAATCTATTTAACAAATTTTATAATATGAATTATTCAGATTATCGAATTAAGCCTGGGATAAGTCCTGAGTCCTCAAGTCAGGTCCTCCTTAGATTGAAAAAAGAAATTTATATAAACCGTATTTGCATAGGAAAACTCAACAATATAATATATAATTGGGGAAGAGTATACATGCCCACCCTCGTCAATCCAGAAATTACCTAAAATTTTCATCTTATGATTTACTTTTATTTTACACATGAACTCTATACTATACAAATTAATTTTCATCACAGAATCACTCATTCAGAAATTTTTTTGATGTTGATTTTTTATTTTAGGACGGCTATGCCCGCGTGTGAGCTTAACATAAGAAGACAAGAAGCTATACATATATATATGTGGTGTGAGCTTAACCAGAAGACAAAGAAGCACAAACTTGAGAGAGAGAGACAGAGACAGAGAGAGACAGAGAGAGAAATGGCTTCAGGGAGTTTTGTTAAGATTCCAGACATAAAGTTCACGAAGCTCTTCATCAATGGAAATTTCGTCGATTCCATTTCAGGTGTTTTCTTTTACATGCTTGCTTTCATTTCATGTTCTTTTCTAGATCTTCCTTCTTTGATGTGTGTGTACAGTTATACATATGATTTATATGTGCATTATTAGAAGAAAAAAAAAATATGAATTTCATATCATAACTCCAAATGAGTTTGTACACACATCATGTGTGCACATAATTTAACCTCATTAAAATATCAAGGCAGCTCATCGTATTGTTTGACATTATTAATAATGAAATTATTATGCAATAATTCTAAAAAAATAAAATCTCATCAAACGCAATAGTAAACGTTCATATTTTTTTTTTTGTTCAAATAATAGTATAATGTTTTTACAAATTATTCTATTGAAAACTTGAGAAGTTTAAGATATCATTTGAGGTTTGACTTTTTAAATAATTTTTTAGTTCTTTTTGTTGTATTTGACAATAACTTTTTCAGCAATGATTCAGAGCACTAATTTTAATGCTCTAATAGAGCACTAATAATATGGCAATGGTAAAAAAAATAAAATAAAAACAAACTAAAATTAAAACCAAAACATCACATCACTGTGGGTGGAGCTCACTACCAACTCATTAGCTCTAGCTTTAGAGCTCAAGAATTAGAGCCCCAAAGTATTTTTCTAACTTTTTTTAGTTGTACGAGAAAACGTACTGGTTTGTATGACTCTTTTTTTAATAGCTTTTAGTTTTAGTTTTTGAATTTTTTTTAATTACTCTTTGGGATTTTTTTTTATTTTTTGTAATAAACCTTTTTGCTTTTTCTAGTCTAAAAGTCAAGTTTTCAAACAAGGGCCAAGTATTGTTTAGTTTAATTTTTTATTTTATTGTATTATTTTTTTAAAGAATTTGTGGAACTTGTGCATGGTGACCTTATCTCTAAAAAAAATTTAGAATCACCACCGTATTTATAACTAAAAATTTTGTTTTTGTTACCTTTTGAGTGCTTTTGATCACTACTATGCTTTGATTTTTTTAATTGTAAAAAAGCTTTTAGTATGTAAATGATAGGGTTGAACATGATTTGGATTGATTCGTAAAATAAGACCAATCTACTATTTATGATTTCATCAAATTTGATTAAATATTATCTTATGGTGTAGTTAGATCTTACAAAATAAATGATTTTAACATAAAAGTGAGTCCAAAATTAACAATGTTAGGAGCGCACTATATATACACCCATTTACATATGTAGAGGAGACGTTATTGGCTTATTTAAGATCAAGTTTAACTAGCGATCTGACATTCTTATTATTGGGAAGCTTCTATTTACACACACTAAACTCTCTTCATACACACACTTAATGAAAAGAGTGTGTAAAAAGTATAGTGAGGAGGGATGTGTAGAAAGTGTATGTTGTGTGTGTAAATAGAAGTTCCCTTATTATTGGTGGATGGTCTAAGGAATCGACAATAATAACCTCTCACAGCGCCATCAACAAGGGACTAGCCAATTGAAATATTGTAGGCGCATTAGATGCCGCTACATCTTGACCAAACAATAATTTGCAAAGAGAAAGAGGGAACGAGTCTCACTCACATGGCTGTAAATTTCACACACCCTCCCTATAGAGAGGTTAGTTGATAATTTTAGATTAATATTTCATATCCCTCAATGTATGACACTTGTTCCGTTATCCCTCAATCCAACATTAATTTTATGAGTCTCATTGTTCAACTAATCTATACTATATATTAAGTAGAATGAGGTTTTTAACCCCCTCAGATCTGTGGGAGCTTTAATATCTTAATCTAAATTTTTTAAATTTTTTATTTTAAAAAAAAAAAAAAAAAACTCAGCATTTATTGATTTGGTCAAAATTTCCTAATCAGCATTTATTAACTTTTTTCAATCCACATGTCTTTCTACATGCCTACATTTATTAATTTGGTCAAAATTTCTTAATCAGCATTTAAAATCTCCTCATACAAATAATTATAGATACAATCCGTATATAGTTACTACAAAAAAAAAACTCAGCATTTATTAATTTGGTCAAAATCTCCTGATCAACATTTGTTAACTTTTTTCAATCCATATGTCTTTCCACATGCCTACATTTATTAATTTGGTCAAAAATTCCCTGACCAACATTTAAAATCTCCTCATACAAATAATTATAGATATAATCCGTGTATAGTTACTGCAGTACCCGTTTCAACTTCTCTCATACATTATGGTTAGTGATAAGATTGTTAAATTATTTTCATAAAAAATCTTAAAAAACATAATTTATATATTAAAAAAAATCTAAAATAAATATAAATATCTATAATTATTTCATGCATAACACGGGTGATAGGCTAGTAAAATATAAGTTGAAACCCTACATGGATTTGCTCCACAACCATTGTATAATTTTTTCTCTCAATCACTGTATGGATATAAAAACAAGTGTATTGCTATCTTAGTTGGTCCCAAACAACGTCACAAAAAGAACCATATTTACTTGAGAAAATATCAAATCTATGAAATTTGTTAAAAAAATAATTACAAATCAATGAGAAATTTTATAAATATTAATAATTAAAATTATAAACATTTTCAAATAATTATTTTTTTCAAAATTCTTCTTGGGTAAATTTCAAATTATTATATTATTATTATTTTTTCCAAGCGACGTAAATTTTTTGTTTTTTTGGTTGAAACTGTGAATCTTAGTATTTTTATTTTTATTTTTTTTATATTTAAATTAAAGGAAAAACATTTGGGACAATAGACCCAAGAACAGGAGAACAGATAGCAAGGATAGCAGAGGGAGACAAGGAAGATGTTAATTTAGCAGTCAAGGCTGCGCGAGTTGCATTCGATCATGGCCCATGGCCTCGCTTATCTGGTTCTGTAAGTAACCATTTCTTTTTCTTTTCTTTTTTTCATGGAAAATGTTTAAATTTTTTAATCCATAACTCTTAATTTTATTTTTAAGGGTAATGTTAGAAATCACTAAAAGTGATGCTCTAAAGCAACCACTAACAATGTGACATCCACTTTTTTTATTATAAAAAAAAAAAACAAAACAAACAAACACAACAACATTATAACAGTGGGTGAGACCCATTAGTGGTGGTACTAATTAGTGCTCCCACTCATTTTTCATTTCAAAAATACCACACTCGCTATATACTACTTGATAGTAAGGATTAAATGCTTACATGATCTTTAGAAAAAGAATAATGTTATATACACCAGTTAGTGTATTAATTAGTGTATCAATTGATGATATAGCATAATTTAAGAGGTTTTTGATATTTGTAATGTGATTAATGAGTGTGGTCAATAATAATGTCATAATTAATGTTGGTACACTCGTTAGTACACTAATTGGTACATGTAATACCACCTTTTAAAAAATGATAGACAAATCTTAAAATTTCATTAAATAGAGACACAATCACGTAGTGTAATAGACTTTTGTGGTATTTCTGCCTATGCATATGTGATTGGTTGAGTAGAATATCTTTTGCGAAACCAAAAATGGTTTGAGTTCAGTTTTTTATTTTATTATTTTATTTTATGAATTTAACTTAGGGAAATGATTTCAATAATAATTTTACTGTTGGCTAATTCATGCTAATTATCATTCAATTTTCCCTCCCATAGCCACAATTGTTATTTATTTTTGTAAATGATATAATATATTTAAAGGCCTAATCAAAATAATTTGGGACAATTACACCAAAAAAAAAAAATCAAGAGTTTGACCCTTTTAACAAATTAAACCTTGAATTTTTAATTTTTTCAATTTAAATTCTAATATTTTAATTTGTTTTCAATTTAAACTATTCGCCTGTTTTTATTAAGTAAAATCGACAGGAAAAAAAAAGTATTTTAAAATGTAAGTATACATAAAATGTCTAAAATATCATTTTTCATTAAGTTTAATGACTAAAATATTATTTTTCAGTTGATTTTATTTAACAAAAATAGACAAATGATTTATATTGAAAATAAATCAAAAGTTTGGGGTTTAAATTGATAAAATTAAAAATTCAGAGTTTAATTTGTTAAAAAGATCAAACCTTATGTTGTGTTTGGTTGGAGGATTTGGAAAGGGATTTGAAAAGGGAAATGGAAAAGGTATGTAAAACTAGATGAAATTTAAGTATATTTTATTCACATTTTATCTGTTTTTTTTATTTTCCTTTCCAAATCCCTCCTCAAATCCCCCAACCAAACACAACAGTACAATTTTATTTATTTATTTTTTTTTTTGTAATTTTTCCAAATAATGTCTATAGGATGCTAATTATAACAATTATTTTGAATATCAATGGTGTAGCCACTGTCCAAACAACTTTAAATGCAGACAACACTTCGTTTTAGAGTTGAACAATGAATTGTCAGGAGGGTGTGGTTGTGTTGATTCCTAGTCAACACTTTGTTTTTTCTGGCAACTGGATCAAGTTCTTGCCGTCCTTTTTTGCCAGTCTTGCTGGCTATTGTATTGTTTCTTTGTTGGCTTTTTAACTCTATCAATGAATTCTTTTTTTGTGGATCAAAAAAATGCAGACAACATTTTCATTCCCTTCTTCCCTATTTTCATCATGTCCTTATCATATCCTCACCTGTTTTCTCCTTTGAAATTCCAATTGCAAATTACTTAGCACCACCAATTATATTGGCAAATTCTGAATCCTTCTTGAAAAATATAAAGAAAATTGCCTCAGAGAAGGTTATGGCAACAATTTTTTTTTCCAAATATTTATGATAATGTCACATCCTATTTTGTGTACTATAAATCTGTGCACTCACCATAATAAAATAAGAGTTTTAGAAATTAAAATTTTGCCTTCAAAAGTGAAAAATTTGTTGCAAAAAATATTCGGAGTTCAATTTTTGTTGTCGTGAAAATAGTCACTAAAAAATCATTTTGAAAAGTCAAAAAAATAACTTTTAGATACAATTTTAAAAATGTCGCTAATCAAGAAGAAAAAGGTGGAATTACATTTCAATCCATCTTATCAAAAATAATTACAAAATCATGAAAAAGATTATTATTTTAATTATTGATATTTGTAAAATTTATTATTTGTTTGTAATTACTTTTTCCAAAAACCACTGATTTTATATTTCCCCGAAAACAATTTAGTCCCAAGAAAGTTTTTGTTTTGAGACACAAATTTTAGTCCCAAAAGAATACTAATTCATCACTAAATGTCCAATTTCGTCGCTAAAAATACAATAACGATACTTTTGATAACAAAAATATTTAAACTATCAATAGGTCCTAATAGTTGAACTTAATTCCCATCAAGTCATAGTAAAATCATCGTTAAAAATAATTTTTGTGCAAAATGTTTGTACAAGTCGCTAAATATTAATAATTAGTGACTTTTTTTGTTACGGTTTTTAAAAATTGTCCCTAAAACTTACAATTAGTGTCGCTTTTCTATGACGGATTTTTCAACCCGTCACTGACAGTTGAAATTAGTGATTTTTTTGTAACAATTTTTTAACCTGTCGTTAAAACTTATAATTAGTGACATTTTTGTGACAATTTTCAAACCATCTTTGAAAATTAATAATTAGTGACGTTTAATAGTGTTTGATGAAAAATACCATTAATTATCAAATGATATATTGGATAATAAGTCCACCTATTAAGAACTGCACGTAACCCCTTCAAATATTTTGTCTTAAAAAAGTGATTTTATCTCTAAAACCTTAATTAATTTATTGAAGTGACTAGCTAAATATTTCTTCTTTTTGGCCTGATTGGAGGCGTAATCAGGCAATACGAAGAATAATGATGAAATATGCAGACTTAATCAACGAAAATACAGAAGAACTAGTTGCATTGGACACCATTGATGCCGGTAAATTGTTCGGTAGGGGAAAGGCCGTGGATATTCCTGCGGCAGCAGAAACTCTCCGTTACTATGCCGGTGCTGCAGATAAAATTCACGGAGAGACGTTAAAAATGTCGCAGGAGCTTCAAGCGTTCACATTGCGCGAACCAGTAGGCGTAGTCGGGCATATCATCCCTTGGAACTTCCCAAGTATCATGTTTTCTACTAAGGTTGCACCAGCATTGGCAGCTGGCTGCACCATGATTGTCAAGCCTGCTGAGCAGAAACAGACACCGCTTTCAGCTCTTCACAATGCCCATTTGGCTAAGCTGGTATGCAATTATTTGGTCATATGGTTCACTTTATGAAAATATATCAAACTTAACTAACAATATTGTATAAAATAATCAAATAGTTCATAAATTGCGTTATATATGGGTGGTTCTGAAGGTTGTCCCAGATGTAGTGTTGGGTTGCTCTGGTTCTGGTTTAGATTGTTCTGGGTTGGTCTGATTCTGGTTTTTGGTTTGCTGCTGTAGTATTTTGGTGTGGAAAACAGTAGGAAAGGAGAGCTTGTCACTTGTTCCAAACACATCAACTCGGATTTGTTCTATGCAGTTCTAGGAGGTCTAGGCCAAGTTGGGATCATAACCTGAGCAAGAGTTGCCTTAAGGTAGGCTCCAAACGGGTTGCTGCTGCTAGCTTTTGGGGTCTGTTTTCCTTGGATGTGTTCTGTTTGGGTTGATCTGAGTTAAGGCTCATGTATGCACTTAGGTTCATATGGAAGCAAAGGTCAAAACTTCTGAGGTTTGAAGGCATGAAGCTACTATCACAGTCATCACAGGCTTTGCCACTGCTGCTGTTAGCTGGTGATTGTTTGGTGATTGCTGCTGTGAAGTGGGGTATTGGCTGACTGGTCTGGTGTTTTGCTTATGTGTGTTTCTGCAGGTGAATTGTGTGGACTGAGTTGTGTGGGATTGATTTGTGAGGACTGAGTTGTGTGGGTATGAACTGTGGGATTGAATTGGGGGTTGAGTTTTTGGGGTCTTCTTTTCATTTTGTTCTTTCTTTTTTCCTCTCTTTTTTTCTCTCTTGCTGGGCATGGTTTCTCGCCATCCCTTTGTGGTTGAGCTCGCAGATGATTGAGCTTTTTTCTCGGTGCCAGCCTAGTTGGGATTGGGTTTGTTAGCTTTGATGCGCTTCTGCTCTTCCACCCCTTTATTGATGTTCATCTCATATGTATTGTATGTTTTCTTCATCAATAAAGTTCTTTTTTGCTGATCAAAAGAAAAATATATATATATATATTTTGGATAAGCAAGGAAAACTTTATTGATGAAACGAAGATACAAATCATACAAACATTAATAAAGCAAGGGGAAGGCTACAAGCATCATAGCTAAACTAAACTATCCCAACTAGGTTGGCACCGCAAATCTAGTGCAATCATATGCGAGCAAATCCCAAATTGATGAGAACCAAACCAAAGTAAACAAGAAAACAGAGGAACAACTCCAACCACTCCTAATGATCTAAAATCCAAAACACCAGCAGCACATATATGAAAGTTAGACCAACATCTCCACCACACTCAAGCTTTGATTTGATCAAGGTTGGTGACTATATCCTGCACTGAATACTGCAATCCTCTTATACTTTGTTTACTCCATAGTGCTACCCTCACTTTCAACAATTCAAATAATTCATTCCCATCAACTATCTTCCCTTTAAAAAGACACTCATTTCTAGCTTTCCAAACTGACCACATAACTGCTAAGGGTACTGCTTTCCACATTTTTAGAACCACCTTTTTGAACTTGAAGCCTGCCTGCCAATGCAATAAATCCTCAATTGATCCTGGCAAAGCCCAAACCAAATCCCACCACTTTAACATATCAGTCCACACTTTCCAAACCAGAGGACAAAACAGTAATATTACATGATTTACGGTCTCCTCCTCTGCTTTGCAAAATAAGCACAATGAATCTGCTTCCATATTCAACACACCAATCCTCTTCATAAAAGTTGTAGTTTTAAGTCTACCTCTGCAAGCTCACCTTGGGTGGAACAATATTATTCCACAGTTCATCAGCTACTCTTACAATAGGACCTTTCAAAGATTCCCACCAATTCCATGCTGTTCTACTGTGAAGGTACCTGATGGATTGGCCAACCATATGCATGAATCCTCAGACTCTATAGTAAGTGAAGGTGCTTCCGTTAGTACTTCATGCAGCCTAAGAACCTCCTCCTCCTCCCAAGCAAACAGAGCTCTTCTAAAAAGTAAATTCCAATCATGTAAGGAGCTCCTCCTTTGATATACCTGCATAATGGTGCTTCCTTTCTCCTCAGATAAGCTATATAACCTGGGAAATTCCTCCTTCAAACATAAATTGTTGATCCATTTATACTCCCAGAACTGGATTCTTTCCCCATTAACGTATATAGTTTGTATCTAAATGCTCTAATCTTGGTATTTGGGGTTTGCTTATATTGGTTTTTTTTCTTTTTTTTTGTATTTTTTTGCATTTTTTCTGTCTTTAATGAATTTTTATTAAATTTTTTCAAAAACTTTGGACTTTGAGTTCTATTCGAATAGATGGATCAAAAAGCACAACTTTTGAAAAAAGTCCTAAAAAGACAAAAAAGTAAAAAATAGGTGGTTTTTTTGGCATCTTTTTATTTTTTATTTTTATTTATTTTTTATTTTGTGACTTTTTAGATTCATTTACGTAAGATGGACTAAAAAAGTTAAAAAAAATTAACACAATTTTAAAAAAAGATCGCTAACTATAACAAAGTTCAGTAAGGAAAAAAAATGACTTTTTTAAGTGTATGCCAAACATACGACTCCAAATTATGCACTGGATGTCTCCAAAACTTTCAATTTTTAGTAATTCGAGATGCTCGTATAAAATACCCAGAAAAACAATATGTGATCCAAATTCATTCTGTACGGGGAGGAAATAATTCTCCTCGTATAATCCTGTTGACCAGATCTACGCTTCTCCGTACGACGTCGCTTTGTCACCTGAAAACACAAACGTGAGCTAGCCGGCGGGTGTGTGCCGGAAACCTCTCCGATGCCTAAGTCAGAAAACTTGACAAATAGACAAAGCTCTAAGTTCTCAGAAAGATTGTGTTCAATTACCTCCTCCAAGGTCTTGGTATTTGGGGTTTGCTTATATTGGTTTTTTTTTTTTTTTTCGTATTTTTTTGCTTTTTTTCTGTCTTTAATGAATTTTATTAAATTTTTTCAAAAACTTTAGACTTTGAGTTCTATTCGAATAGATGGATCAAAAAGCACAACTTTTGAAAAAAGTCCTGAAAAGACAAAAAAGTAAAAAACAGGTGGTTTTTTTGGCATCTTTTTTATTTTTTATTTTTATTTATTTTTTATTTTGTGACTTTTTAGATTCATTTACGTAAGATGGACTAAAAAAGTTTTAAAAAATTGACATAATTTTAAAAAAAGATCGCCAACTATAACAAAGTTCAGTAAGGAAAAAAAATGACTTTTTGAAGTGTATGCCAAACATAAGACTCAAAATTATGCACTTGATGTCTCCAAAACTTTCAATTTTTAGTAATTCGAGATACTCGTATAAAATACCCAGAAAAACAATATGTGATCCAAATTCATTCAATATGTGATCCTGCTTCACAAAAGTAGAATTGAATCTCAGCCACACTAATTTTTTATTTTTTGGGGTAAAAGATGTATATTCACTCAGCTCTTCTAACAGTTGTTTGTTTTTGCTTTGGTTTTGCTGTGTACTGTTGGATGGGATAAAGGCTGGAATCCCAGATGGAGTGATAAATGTTATAACAGCATTCGGACATACTACTGGAGCTGCCATTTCCTCTCATATGGACATTGATAAAGTGATTCTTGATATAACTTACTTTATACATTTCCAGTTTTTTTTTTTTTTTTTTTTTGTTGCTATTATCTGTTAATTCGATCACAGAATTGGCAAAATCGGATGCAACCTTGGGATCCATACATTTTATGAGACCTATCTCATATGACAAGGTTGTGTCTAATTTTGTAATTTGATTAGGTAAGAAAATGGGAGTGAAATGAAGGGGAAAAAAATTTGCTTATATTTTATTCATAATTTTCTCATTTTTTTTCATTTCATTTTCCAAATCTCTACCCAAATTTATGATCTAAAATACAACCTTAGAATTTTTCATTACTTATTAACAGTTCTTCTCTATGCACATAATGCGCTCACAGAACCGGACAAAATTACCCTCTAGTTTCACTCATATAAAAGAGTTATGTCCGATAAAAAAAAATTACAACTTGTTATCCGGCATTTGGACCAACTCACAAAATTTTGTCTCTTTGTGTTTATGGATTGTAGATAAGTTTTACAGGGTCCACAGAAGTGGGAAGGATTGTAATGGAAGCAGCAGCAAAAAGCAACTTGAAAGGAGTGTCGCTGGAGCTGGGAGGGAAGACCCCTGTCATAATTTTAAAAAATGCTGACCTTGACAAAGCCTCTGATCTTGCTCTCCTCGGAATTGTGTATAACAAGGTCTTAGTCACACTTCTTGTGTTTTTTTTTTTTTTCTTTGTTTTTTAGTTCATTCAATGAAAAAAAAATGAAAATTATATGAATGACAACGTTAGTTAGAGTGAAAAAGATGATCCATAGTAAGGTAAAAAAAAATGAGAGTGAAATGAATTTTTGAGTATACTCCATTTTCTCTCTCTCTTGCTTATGGATGGTTGTCATTTTACTACTTTCAGCTAAAAATTATTACATCTTTCTTCATTGAACTTTCAATTTGTTTTAATTTCAATATTCGGTTGACATTAGTTAAGAAAGAAGACTGAAAAATTACATGTGAATTTACACGTACTATAGCAATTCAAGAGCTAATTTGTTTACACATATGTGACATAAAATTTATGCACGTGTCAATTTTATGATTAAATTGAAACATATATACATGTTTCTCTCTCTCTCTCTCTCTCTCCCACACACACATACGTATATATATATACAGGGACGGAACTAGGATTTCATTATCAGAGGGAGCATCTCTCTCTTTCACACACACATATATATATATATAAACCAACCCTCGAATGAACACTTTAATCATAAAATTGGTGCTTATAGCTCACATGCCACTTTTTCGTCCTCTTTTTATAACAAAGTGTTAATAGAAGGTTAAAATTGAAATAAATTAGAAAATTAGGGCGACAAAAGGAATTTTTAGTTGAAAGAGTAGAGTGACAACGGCTCATAATGAGGGGGAAAGTGCAATTTGTCAAATTTTTTAGTACACATTTACACATTTGGTTACATGAACAACCTTTCCAAGATAAGAGTAAAATTACATACATCTTACCTTTTTCAAACTCCACTTTGGTAAAACTCTCTTTTATTGGATTGCCCTTTTCAATATATGTGTTTAGATAAAATGAAATTTTTGTAAGAAAGATTACTTAAAGAGAGAAAAAAAATCTCATATATTTTTTGCAAAAAATTAGACCTCAAGTTATCATACCGATATGGGTTGTACAGGAAATTTATACTTATTGCACTCTTATGCTAAATTAATGCAAGAAAAGTTACATTTTTTTTGGGGGATCTAATTGCTCGCATTTTCGTCAACTTTCTATTGGAAATAATAGTTTTATAGGCTTATTTTCGGCTAACTTTGAGCCCAAATTTGGATGGGGCCCACATGTCTTTTGGGGTGGGTCCAAAGAGGTAACGTGTTCTTTACTGCATGGCAAGTCACACGGTGAAGGCGGTTCGTCAAAATCATTTATGAGTGAATGGGAAGTTGACGTCGTTTTCGGGTTCGTGGTATGGACAATTAAAAAAAGTAAATGTGGGTTTCTTGAAATGGGTTGTCCCACATTGAAAACTTAAGAGAACTTATGTATGTATATAAGTTCTAGGTGGCAACACTTGGATTGGGTCCCAATGGGCACCCCAAGTTTGTAGAAAGGAAGAGTTACTCACAAAGTGAACCTTGGCTCAAATCAAACCACCACACAAGCCGCCGTTCGGCCGAGCCGTGCTGGGTGTGTGTTATGGGTCGGATCGGTTTTAACATTAATTTTTTGAACAAAATTTATTTGAATTTTTCTAAAAAATTCTTGCGGGAATTTTTTTTTTCTGAACAAAATTAATTCAAATTTTTTGCCAAATTTGCATTCAAATTTTTTGTCCAATGCCTCCAATCTAATTTCCAACATATTTGAAACTGCACTGTTTGGACAGATTCAAACAATTCTAGCAGTTCAGACAAATCAAACAATTCCAGTAGATCTGTTGAAATTTGAACTGCACCTGTTCAATTTCGAAATTGTACCTGTTCGGTTTGATTTTCTTACCTGTTCAGATCTATAAATATCAGGCCATTTCCAGCAGTCAAGGCATTCCGACAAATTCATCTTCTTGCCTTCCTTTTTCTCTCTTGCATCAATTTATTCTTCATATTATTTTAGGAAAAATTTGGAGAGTATAGAACACAGGTTTTTGTTCGCCGTACAAATTGTTTGGAGTGCTACTACAATTTGGGTAAATCATTGTATCCTAGAAGATAGACGCCATTCATCCGTAAGCACCGAAACAGGACGAATCTGTCTTAAGGACAGAGTATCACACATTCAACTTGATCTTTTAAATATTTATTCAGTTCGGTAAATAAATTCTGTGAGTAATTTATTTTATTTGTTTGATATAGTTTCAAATTATTTGTTTTACAAAGAAGATTGTTCCAACACTTTCATCCTAACCAAATTGAAACAACTTTTTTAGCTCAAAAACTCAATAGCAGTCTTTTGTTTGCAGGGAGAAATTTGTGTGGCTGGATCACGTGTTTTTGTTCAAGAACGAATTTATGAAGAATTGGTGAAGAAGTTGGAAGACAAGGCAAAGACATGGGTGGCTGGAGATCCTTTTGATCCTATTGTTCGTTATGGACCACAGGTAACTAGAAGAGAAAATTATTATTCAGTGGTATTTTTAAAAAATTATTGTAGAGTGATGAAAAAGTTTAAAACTCTAATTATTAATATATGTTATTTGTTTTGTAGAACTTGCACTGAATTGATATTGTCCCTTATTAGAACTTCTAAACCAATACTTTTCATTAATTTGTCACATACAACATAGTTTTTACATTGTTACACGTCAAAATTTTACTAAGGCCACCATCCATTGCTTCAATCACCATCACCACCCTTTTTTCACCGCTGCCACCCTATAAACATCACTATCACAACCACCAAATTTATCATTCTTAGGCACCCTTTCAATTTACAAATTAGAAATAAATGGTTTTGACATTAATAATTTGAGAAGTATAGCCTTTTAAGTCTATGTAATAATTTAGATTTAGATATCAAGAATGGAATTGAGAGATTTATAATGATGGATTTCAAATAATTTTGAAAAAAAAAAATAGTTATTTGAAATCCTTCCATAAAATACTATACTTGTACAAAGAACTTAACAAAATACATGAAACATACCTATATTCTATTATGCACCTTAGAATTACCATCTACCTTCCATAACTAATCTACTTTATAATTTTATAAAATTCAATGTCAAATCCCTTTATTTGAAATCCACCCATCCAAATTGAGCCTTAAGGTCATAGGTAAACAGCAACGGAATCATGATTTTATTACCGGAGGGATCAAAAAATAAATATTTTTTTTTTCACCATATACACAAACATGCATGTATATAGAATATGATATATAAATTATATATATATATAGAGAGAGAGAGATAAAGAGAGTTAAATACCGTAGAAGCAATCTCTAATATGATGAAATTTTTTTGTGCAAAATAGAAAGATAATGCAAGTTGGGAGAAGAATGAGATATATATATTTTATACTGGGAGGCTATTTTATGTATAAAATGATATATATATATATATATATATCTATTCTATTTTTAAAGTGTTATGACATAATATCTTTCATAAAAACAGGGGGTCATAACCCCCATAGTCTTCTAATTCCATCCCCGTAGGCAAACGCAAGAAAATTTTATCAACTGAAGCACAAGAAATATAAGAGGTAAAATTATTGAGCGCTCAATATGATACATAATCACAAGTGGAATTCACTGACAAATTACTCAAAAGTGTGTCTGTTTGTGAATGATGTGGAGCACCACACACTACTAAAAAAAATATTTTTTGCGATCGCTACAAATCGTCACAAATAATAGAAATATAGTCACAAATTTTTTTTTGCGACGGCCCATGCGACAACAAATGGGAGTTGCGAATGTGGGGGTGGCAAATAATTTTTGTGACTGCAAAATAGTAGTCGCAAAGTATTTGTGATTGCCTAAACTACTTATGGCGACTGATGTTTTGCCGTCGCAAAAAAGGTAAAAAAATGCCTATAATGTATTAGCAACCATCTTGTTACCATCGCCAAGAAAAAAAGAAATGCCTACAATGTTTTAACAACTTATATTCTCATATATATATATATATATATATATACATATATTCAAATATTATATACAACACAATAAATGTAAAGAGATATTCACAAAAATTTTAACATTCATGCATTATTTTCCATCTCTTTTCTTAATAAAATTCTTGTTACAATAACAAAGAGTTCTTGAAAGAATCCTACAAAAGTTTTCCACCTCTTGCAATTACAAAAAACATTAGACGTTACAATAGTTCTGATTCCAAGAATCCTTGCAAATACCCACCCTAATTCATATAAAAAACTAGTATAGGGAAACAAGAAACAAGGCACTCCTTTACAGTCTTGTTACAAAGTCTTGAAGAATATAGGTTGTCCTGAAAGAATTCTCGTCACAATCTTGTTACCACCACTACTCCCACTGTCAAGAGAATATCGGAAACAAATCATCAACCTCTAATATTGAAACTACAAGTTCGAGCAAAAAATGTGCGAATTTGATTATTGAACACTAGTAACACAAAAACCAACACAATATCAGACTTTCTCAGCTAGCATTGTTCGTAATATTAACAAACTAGTTGAAAATTTCATAATAATTTGTAACATTTGAAACAATACTTTAATTCATCATGTATAGGTATTATATAAAACCAATTAAGCCAAATGTGCTTTACCTAGATATCATTGAGTCTGAAAATTTAATAGTGAGACTGAATTTGCAATCACGTGCAAGAAATACCAAAAGCATAGTATTAGGTGAGTCATACCTTCACAACCTTAAACATGTAACCAAAGAAAAAGGGACTAAAGGAAGAACCTTATCATCTTGGGTATATAAGCAATATAAGATTAGTGCTCAATCATTAGTATGTAGCGTTTGCTTAAGCAAACATGAACAAAATCCACACTTGGAGGCATCACGTGCTTAGAAATTTCTTTTTTCTCAAGGCTCTTAATCTCATCATTCTCTAGTAAATTTAAACTTGCAAGTTTCTCACCCATGGTTTGCTCATTTAAATCCTCGTCAATTTGGTTTCCATCCATTGGCTCTTTATGAGCTATATCTAGCAATAAAACCAATTTATTTGTTAAATGCTGAAATTCAGGTTTTGGCGCATAAAATGCACATATTTTATTTTAATATTAAAACAACATTTTATTACACCACACAATGATATAAGAAAACCAACCCCAAATGACAAGTTTCAAACTTGCAAAACTTTCCCGCCCAAATAGACCTTGTATACCATTAATTTCAAATCTGTTCCATTACATGTCAATGACAAATATCAAATTACATTCCATCTGTGCACACATAATCATAAGAGAAATATTAAACATGACCATTCTATCTAATTTCAAGCACATTATAATCAATAAATCGATATATAGAAGACAAACGTAGATTGAGAAACAAAATCAAAACAAAATCATGAATAACCAAATATGCTATTGATGAAAAAATATGAAATCAATTGATCAGCTACAAATCAACAAACCGTAGAGGTACGAAATTGTCAATAAACTCATATTTATTTACATGGTCCTAGAGCACTATCAAATTCACAAAGATGCAAAAGTTGTTGCTCTAAGTTTGAAGTAATTTATTATTATCAGCAACAATCAACACCAAATCAGATTATGGACTACTCAATATTTGTTCGAATAGTGGCATACCTATTCATCTTCTTTTGAAGCTTATTGCCAACTAGATGCATCCAGCACCTACAATATGTTAGTATAATGTGTTAATATTTGATAAAACGTCCCAGAATGTACCTCATTTCCTGTTTTAGTGGTTCTCTTTATCTCTGCAACAAGTTTCTTTTCCTATATCAGCAAATAATTTATAATTAGATCAAACACTAAAAACTTGCAATAGAAACATTACTTATAAACTCTTTAACATACTTCCAATTGCAAGGTGGTGATTTTCCTCTCAAATGTTTGTTGGTTTCTTTATATAACTAAATAAATACTCTATAAATACTTGTTTTCATTGTCAATAGTTAAACGACACATGCGTAATAGATGTTTTGATATATCTATGCAGGTAACTAATCCCCACAAGCAAAGCATTGTCATAGTTCCCAAAAAAACATTTGGGAAAAACAATAATAAGAAAGGGGTCAATTTAGGCTTTAGGTACATGGGCATATCAAGAAAAGATTTTAAGTTTAATTCTTAATTCCTTCAACAACCAACCTACCCCACTTCTTAAAAATAAAAACATAAGTAAAAAGTAAAAAACAGAGGTTGGTTGAAATTGCAAACAACATTTGATGACTACCCCTTCTCTCTTTTAAACTTTCATTCTCATTCTAATTTTTCTTCTATACTCTCTGTTCTTCATCTCCACTTAATGACCTCTTTTAAAACTGTTTTTCCTCTACCCCACTGTTTTTATTTTATTTTTTAATGAATCTAAAAAAGAATTGACTAAAATATAAATAAAAAACAAATCACTAAAAATAAAGGAAAATTCACATAAAAAAAGTTTTGAAAACCTCTTATTAGCTAGCATCCAGAAATTCCAGCAATAATTCAAGCAACCAAACACTTTCAAAACCAAGCCAATTCAAACAATTGCCCTTCCATATAGCCCTAGATTTTACAATCTCTCTTTAATTATCACTGTTCCTAGTTCATGAAACTACCTAACATAGCTGTGTACAAGCAAATGAATCAACAATTCTGGATCAACACAACACAGATGAAATCACAGTTGAAATAGTAAGGGTAGATAGAGATTGTTCCAAGAGGTTCAAACACCTCTATTGTTTTCAAAAACCAATTAAATTCAACAGAATATTGAAATTCAACAGAATAATGAAGAGGAGAGAACCAAAACCTCCCCAAAACCTCCACATTGCATAATATTGAAATCATTAAACACAGCTAATAAATATAATAGAGAGAGAAAGTTGGATTCATTCATAGAAATTAGGCTTACCGATTATGAATCAATCGAAATCTTCAAATCTTCATCAACAATCCATCAAAATTTTCAAATCTTCATCAACAATTGATCAAAATCTTCAAATAAACAATAAAATTGAGATTGAGAGTCCAAAGAGAAAGTCGAGCGAGAGAGAGTGCAAGAGTTCATATCGTTGGAGGTCGGTCTTCAACGAAAAAAGTGAATTGATTTGGGAAATAAGGGATAGATAGGGCAAGTTTTACACGATTTGTTTTTTTTTTTTTTTTTCAAAACACAATTTGGGAGTTGAAATAAAATGACATTTTGGTGTAAAAAGTGAATTTTTGCGACGGTCAAACAATCAGTTGCAAAAAAATAGACGCAAAAAGTCTTATTTCTAGTAGTGACGTGATCAATGCTTCACAATGCCCTAATAGCACCTGTTGAGTTAGTTAAATATTTGTCTTGAAATCAACATTACAAATGGTGCAGGTTGACAAGACCCAATTTGAGAGAATACTTTCATACATTGAGCATGAAAAGAGAGAAGGAGCCACATTGTTAACTGGTGGCAAGCCTTGTGGCCAGAAGGGATACTATATTGAGCCAACAATTTTCACTGATGTCAAGATAATTAAACCTTTTTTCAACTTTATTTTACAATTGCTCATACTTGAATGGCACGAACATAGTGTATTTTATGTGGAGTTTAATATTAATTTTGTGAGGGCATATTTTTGTGAACACACACATGGCCAAGGTGGCGCCGAAGTGCCAGCCGAGGTGCCACGTGTCCTGGTCATGGCGCCGAGGTGATCTCGGCTAGGCCAAGGTTATCTGTGGAGATACCGGAATCTGAGATGAACGGATAAGTTATAAGAGTCCTAGAATGGAGGAGGATCTCGGCTTGGATAAAGATAAAGCTCTTAAGGAGTTTATCTTTATATATTTGAGAGTCTAGGATAAGCATTGAGCCAGAGTCCATTGAAGCTAAGCTTCTATAGGGATCAGGTCAGTGCTGGCTATAAAAGTAAGACACCCTCATGGATCTAAGATACGCTTTTTGTATCCTGGCTAGTGAGTTAAGCACTGTTTGCTATCTTTAAGAGATAATTAAGTGCTGACTTGATCATCGAAGCGCCCCCGGGTGGACGAACCACCGCCGGAGTCTTATCTTTCTGTGACAGGTTGTTCGAGCGCAATCTATTCTACCGGTGTTCTCCAGCTGAGTACTTGTTTGGCAGTGTGGTCAAAAATCAACACATACAATTTGGCGCCGTCTGTGGGAAAGAAAGGAGAATAGATAGCCAACGATAGACAGAAAAAGAAGATTGGGGACGACATCCTTACTGGAAGTAGTAAACACATTGACCCTAACGTTGAGGAGGACAACTGCAATGAAGAACCTTGGGATAATAATCTCGGAGAGAAAGACGTCGGCCAAGAGGGAGATGTACAAAGAAGGCAGACCAAGGTGAGTATTATAACGAAAATGACCTCCAGGTATGGAAAGATAGATGCCTGCAGAGGGATAGTGAGATGAAGGGAATTGCGAACAAATTGGCAAACCTACAACCGATTGTCAGTTTCATAATGCAGAACGTCATGCAGCCACCGTTTTCGTTACAAGACATGCCGATTCCGGCAGCCAAGACCGATGCCCAGAAAAGGGGGCAGAAAACAGTTCCTATAATCCCTCAGCGTGACAGGACAAAGGAACATTCTCACTGGCCTTCATAGGAGGTCGGGCTGGAAGAGTCGATGAAATGAAAGTCTCAGAAGACACATCGTACCAAAGAAGCCTACACCAAAGAATATCGGCATGTTCAAGGAAATGAGCTTTGTTTCGACACGACTAATGGAGAGAGGTCCAAGAGGACTCATAACGACACCAAGAGTAGCGCACCAAAAAGGATGAAATCCGTTGATAGCCGAGCTCCTGGACGGACCAAGGAGGATTTGAGGGATTACCTCCAGAGAAAGCGACAAGATGCCGAGGTAACCTAGTTAAGCCGAGAATGCCATTTTCGGTAGAATTGGACAAATTTGAGGCCCTAAAAAGGTTCCACATGCCGAGATTCTAGATATACGACAGTAAGTCTGACCCTAACTCAATGGCACTGTACACCGGGAACGAGCGGTTGCTTTGCAAGGTGTTCCCCTCATCTTTTGGGAAAATCGCATCAGACCGGTTTCACAAGTTGTCGAAAGAAACTGTGAAAAGCTGGGAAGGCCTGGCCAAAATGTTCGTGGCCAGGTTTGTGACAAACAAACTACAGCCGTTGAACGTGGACTCCCTGATGGCTCTGAGAATTGGCGAGGATGAAAGCCTCAGGGCTTATGCCAAAAGGTACTATGAGGTGTTTAACCGAATACTAGGGTGCAACCAAGAGGTGGCGGTCGTGTCTTTTAAGAACGGCCTGAACGATGACTGTCTGCTTCGAAAATCACTGGCAAAGACATTGCTAAAAAGTATGGAGGAACTCATGGCCAAGATCGAGAAGTATGCGAGAGCCGATGAAGACACGCTAGGGACAAAGGCATCAAAACAAGAGAAGAGAAACGGCTTGCCGAAGTGAGGCCGAGGTAATACTAGATATAATAAGGAAGAAACAGGACTGAGGGCTACACAGGCAGTCACTACCGTATTCCAAATTCCGGTTTACAAAGTCCTGGAAAGAATCTGGAATTAGCCCTATTATAGAGCACCAAAGAAGATTCCTAGCGAATTTATGGAAAAAAGTCTGGGGAAGCGTTGTGCCTACTACAATGAGGATGGGCATCTGACTCAGGTGTGCAGAGCGCTAAAGGCACATTTGGAAGATCTAGTAAGACAAGGTCACTTAAGGGACTTGGTGAATGAAGCCAAAACAAGGGAAGAACAAGCAAGGCTGCCCCAAGCACCAGCAGCATCACCTCCACTCGCACCACAGCCACAAGCAGACGAACCTCGAGTGATCAATGTGATCCATTTGAAGGTTAACGAGAATGATATGCAGGGAGAGACACAGAAGGTAAAACACCTACATCATGTATATTAGGCCCAACAAAAGAGGCCTAGGGCAGACGTGTACCAAGGACCCATGGTGTCTTTTACTGAAGCCGACCTGGACATGGTACAGCATCCACACAACAATCCTCTGGTGATATCCCTCAAGATTGGAGAATGCCACGTAAGGCGCATTCTGATTGACCAAGGCAGCTCTTGTGACATCATGTATGTCAGATGTTACAAGGAGCTCGGTCTTCACCAAGATGACCTCGAGCAGTCCAGTAGTCCAATGGTCGAGTTCAACAGAATGCCAACATGGCCCTTGGAAGCAATAAATTTGGAGGTACAGGTAGGCACCAGGAAGGTGAGTACAGAATTTACAGTGATTGACACCTCCTTCCCTTATAATATTATCTTGGAAAGGCCATGGTTGCACATAATGAGGGTTGTCCCCTCTACACTGCACCAACTGTTGCGGTTCCCAACAAAGCATGGAGCTGAGGAGGTCAAAGGGGATCAGGTGCAGACAAAGAATTGCTCCGTGGCAGTAATGAAATCCACCTACAGCGTGTGAGAAGCAGAATCAACAGAAATTAAAGACAAGGACATAACGGTCCTGGATGATGTCGACAAGAAACCAGCTGACAAAAGCGATGAAGCCCTAAAAAAAATCCTGGTCCAGCAAGGGGATGAAGAGCGCTTCTTCCTTCTCGACTCAGGCTTGGCCGAAGAAGAGGAAAAAGGAGTTAGAGGTGTTTTTACAAGCAAACATTGAGTTGTTTGCCTGGACACCATACGAGATGTCTGGCATTAACCCTGAGGTCACTTGCCATAGACTGAATGTAGACAGGTCGGCTAAACCTATCATTCAACGGGCTAGAAGGCCAACCTTGATGCATGTTGAGGCAGTAGAAGAGAAGGTGGATAAATTGCTGAGGGCGAGAGCCATTCGAGAGGTTAACTACCCAACATGGTTATCAAACACAGTTGTTGTGAAGAAAAAGAATGAGAAGTGGAGGGTCTGCGTGGACTTCACCAGCCTGAATAAGGCTTGTCCCAAAGACAGTTTCCTATTCCCCAAGATTGACCAATTGGTGGATGCCACATCAGGGCATGGAATGATGAGCTTCTTGGACGCTTACAGGGGGTACCATCAGATAGCCATATACCCCTCCCAATGAGGAGAAGACTGCATTTATCACCCCAAAAAGGCTGTATTGCTACAAAGTGATGTCTTTTGGGGTTGAAAAATGCAAGAGCAACTTACCAGAGATTGGTGACTAAGATGTTTGGACATCTAATAGGCAAAACAATGGTGGTATACATTGATGATATGGTCATAAAGACCAAAGAGCCTGAGGATCATCTGGTTGACCTGAAAGTAGTTTTTGATATCTTGAGGACATTTCGGCTCCAACTCAATGCGTCAAAGTACGCATTTGGAGTTGGGTTAGGAAAGTTCTTGGGATACTTGGTTACCAGAAGGGGCATTGAGGCGAGCTCAGATCAAATCAAAGCCATCCTAGACTTGAAGAGCCCGACATCAGCAAAACAAGTACTGATGTAAACTGGAAGGGCCGCAGCCTTGAATAGGTTCATAAGCAGAAGCTCTGACAAATGCAAACCTTTTTTTAGTTTAAAGAAGAAGGCCACAGATTTCTTGTGGACAAAAGAGTGCAAAGTCACCCTGGCTGACTTGAAAAAAATACTTAACCACAGCTCCAGTTCTCTCAAATCCAGTACTTGGAGAGGAACTGTTCTTGTACTTGGCAGTTTCGGAGCATGCAGTAAGTGCAGTAATAATCAGAGAAGAGAATGGAGAACAAAGGGCAGTATACTACGTGAGTAAAACCTTAGCAGATGCAGAGACCAGATACTTATCCTTGGAGAAACCGACACTGGTCTTAGTAATGGCTTCCAAGAAGCTAAGTCATTACTTTCAAGCCCACAAGATTGTGGTATTAACTAAGCATCCTTCGAAATCCCTGTTGCAGCAAGGAGATCTGACAGGCAGGATAGCCAGATGGGCAGTGGTGTTGGGCCAATACGATCTGGAATTCAAACCCAGAACAGCAATCAAAGGCCAAGTTCTGGCTAACTTCGTGGCCGAGTTCACACCTGGCACCATTCAACATCGGGCTCCGTTGAGTCGCGGTTGAGGATGTCCAGGTGAACAAGACGAAACCCAGCTGGGGATAGCAGAACAGAAGAAAGAAGAGAAACTCAGGCCCTGCAATATTTACATCAGGGACTCCTTCCGTCTATTTATTGATGGGAGTTCAAATCGTCAGGGAGCGGGGGCAGGAGTAGTGCTAGTATCGCTAGATGGGCGGATGCTAGAACAATCTATTCGTTTGGGATTTAAAGCCTCAAACAACGAAGCAGAATATAAAGCACTGATCGCAGAATTAAAGTTGGCAGCAGTAATGGAAGCCGACGAGGTGGTGGTTTTCTGTGACTCCTAGCTTATCGCCAACCAGGCAACAGGCAAATACGCAGCCCGAGATGAAAAAATGATGGCCTATGTAAAGGAGGCTGTCAGACTGGTAGCCTTATTCCAGGATTGCCGACTACAGCAAGTTAGCCGAGATGATAACAGTCATGCTGATACCTTGGCTAACCTGGCTAGTGCAATGAAATCAGGAAAGGCAAGGACAATAATGGTTGACTATTTGTCAGGCCCAAGTGTAAAACCACTGAACACAGTGTATGAAGCAATGTGTGTGGAGATATGACCAAGTTGGATGGATACGATAGTAGTATTCCTTAGAGATGGGAAACTGTCAGATGATCACAAAGAAGCACACAAGATCAGACTGAAGTTGGCAAGGTTCAGTTTGACAACAGAAGGACATCTCTACAGAAGATCTTTTACTGGTCCCCTTTTGAGATGTGCGCGTCATTCACAAGTTGAAGACTTCATGTCTGAAATACACGAAGGAGTATGTGGAAGCCACTCTAGGGGCAGGTCACTTGCTCATAGGGCCATTACTCAGGGGTACTGGTGGCTTTATATGCAGAAAGATACTAAAGTTTATATCAGAAAGTGTGAGAAATGTTAGAGGTTTGCACCTTTGATACATCAACCAGCAACAGATTTAAACCCAGTATCCAGCCCTTGGCCATTTGCCCAGTGGGGCATAGATCTTGTTGGACAACTGCCTCAAGCGACTGGACAAAAGAAGTTCCTACTAGTAGCAATAGATTACTTCACCAAGTGGGTAGAAGCTGAACCCCTTGCAAAAATTCGGGACATTGATGTAAAGAACTTCATATGGAAAAACATCATCACCAAGTTCGAGATCACAAGGGCAATAGTAGCAGACAATGGCACACAATTTGACAATAAGCTAATCAAGAGCTTCTGTGCCAAGTACAAAATCAAGAACTACTACTCCACTCCAAGCTTCCTTCAAAGCAATGGTCAGGCAGAAGCATCCAACAAAACTATCTTGGATGGGATCAAGAAGAGGCTGGAAGCAACAAAGGGAAAGTGGGTGGAAGAGTTGTCCAATGTACTTTGGGCATATCAGACTACGCCGAGAAGATCAACTGGGGAATTTTCATTTGCCATGGCCTATGGCACTGAAGCAGTTATCCCACTGGAAGTCGGCATCCCAGGGATCAGAACCCAGGGAGTAAAGAATGAGACCAATGAGGTACTCTTAGCCCTGGCCCGAGATCTAGACCTGTTGGAAGAAAGAAAGAAGAGAGCAGCAATTCGGCTGGGAGCATACTAGCAACAACT